GAGATAAAAGGATCTCCAGGAATGAAACAATATTAAGAGAACTGTGTGACCAATCCAAAAGGAACAATATCCATATTATAGGGGTACCAGAAGAAGAAGAAAGAGAAAAAGGGATAGAAAGTGTATTTGAAGAAATAATTGCTGAAAACTTCCCCAAACTGGGGGAGGAAATAATCAATCAGACCATGGAAGTGTACAGAACTCCCAACAGAAAGGACCCAAGAAGGACAACACCAAGACACATAATAATTAAAATGGCAAAGATCAAGTGTAAGGACAGAGTTTTAAAGGCAGCTAGAGAGAGGAGAAAGGTCACCTACAAAGGAAAACCCATCAGGCTATCATCAGACTTCTCAACAGAAACCTTACAGGCCAGAAGAGAATGGCATGATATATTTAATGCAATGAAACAGAAGGGCCTTGAATCAAGAATACTGTATCCAGCACGACTATCATTTAAATATGAAGGAGGGATTAAACAATTCCCAATCAAAAGTTGAGGGAATTTGCCCCCCACAAACCACCTCTACAGGTTATTTTAGAGGAACCGCTCTAGATGGGAGCACTCCTAAGGCTAAACAGATGTCACCAGAGAAAATAAAATCACAGCAGAGAAAGCAGACCAACAAAATACTAACTAAAGGCAAAAAAATAAAATCAACTACCTACAAAAGCAATTAAAGGAATTACAAAAGAGCACAGAATAAAACAACCAACATATAAAGAATGGAGGAGGAGGAATAAGAAGGGAGAAAAATAAAGAATGCCCAGACAGTGTTTAAAATAGCTCAATAAGTGAGTTAAGTTAGACAGTAAGATACTAAAGAAGCTAACCTTGAACCTTTGGCAACCACGAATCTAAAGCCTGCAATGGCTATAAGTACATATCTTTCAATAATCACCCTAAATGTAAATGGAGTGAATGCACCAATCAAAAGACACAGAATAGAATGGATAAAAAAGCAAGACCCATCTCTATGCTGCTTACAAGAGACTCACCTCAAACCCAAAGACTATAGGAGCAAAGAAAGAGTGAAGGAACAAAACAGCAGCAGAATCATAGAACCTAAGAATGGACTAACAGTTACCAAAGAGAAAGGGACTGGGGAGGATGGGTGGGAAGGGAGGGATAAGGGTGGGGGAAAAAGAAAGAGGATATTATGATTAGCATGTATAATGTGGTGGGGGGCAGGGGGAGGGCTGTGCAACACAGAGAAGACAAGTAGTGATTCTACAGCATCTTACTACGTTGATGGACAGTACTGTAATGGGGTTTGTGGGGGGGATTTGGTGAAGGGGGGACCCTAGTAAACATAATATTCTTCATGTAAGTGTAGATTAATGACAACAAAATAAATAAATTAATTAATTTAAAAAAATAGTCTTAGTGCTCTAACCGGTTTGTAATTGTCAGTTTACAGCTCAGCATTCTCCCAGCTGTGATGCTGCTTTAACATTCCATACCATGGTTGGTGGAACAGGGAACAGAGTGGCACCCTGACCCCTTGCATCAGGGCTCTTGTCAGCCCACCAACTGTGACAGACGGGGCCAGATCTGCAGGCTGTTGTGTCTGAGCCCAACCCCTGGGGGTAGAGCTTTTGAGGGATTGCGGATGGAGTCCTGGGCCTGGGACTGAGAGTGCTGGGAGCAAGGAACAGGTGAGTTGGGACAGTGCAGATGACCACAGGAGGGAGGGCCCAGCCATAAGGACAATGAATTTGGAGTTGTCCAGCCTCCATAAGAAGCCATCTCCAGACCTCAAGCTCCCCAGCCCAAAGAGCAGGTCAGAAGCGGAGCAGCTAAGTGGCCCTAGAGAGCCCCCTGTCCCCTTAGTCATCAGTAACAAATATTTATTGAATGTGACCATGTGCTGCTTGGGGTATATCAGTGAGCAAACTAAAGATCCCAGCCCTTGATGACTTCATTTTCTAGGTTCTCCCAGGACACTCCCTTTGACCTTGGTCCCCTTTCATAGAAAATAAACTAAGACTTTTAGCATTCAGGCCTCCTCCCCAGCAAACTCCCAGAGCTGCTCTCTCTGGGTCAGTTCCACCTGGGCCACCAATTCACTGTGTGGCTTTCAGAAGCCATTTACCTTCTCTGGGCCTTGCTTTCCCACTGTAACATGAGGTGTTTGTCCTGGATGACCTGCAAGTTAATTCCAGCTCTGAGAGTCTGGGGCTCTAAGACTACTCTTCACAAAGGAAATGCCAGTAAGACCAGCACCACACTCCTGAGTATCTTTTTGAAAGCTCTGAAATCCCTCCAAGTCTCACTTCTAATAGTGGAGAGGAGCAAAGGGACCAGAGTTCCAAGAGCCTACTAATCAAACTGGCCATGTCCCTGCCAGGAGCCATCCCCACCCCCAGACAGCGAGGGCCACGTGCATGGACAGGTGCCAGCTGGAGCCACTAGGGGGGTCCTCACCTGGGCATCTTCCCGGGCCTGGTCCCGGTTTTCTGCTCCCTCCTCACGGTTCCCCTGCAGCAGGACCAGAGAAAGGTCAGTCCCTGGACACCCACCCTCTCTGTCCCTCAGCAGCCACAGTACCTCGCTCAGTCACTCTGCCTCCCTGAACCCTTTTGTTCAGCTGTAATGTGGGAACAATAATCCTGCCTTTATAGGGTAGGCTGCTGTGAGCATTAAATGTGGATGTTTGCGAGGCACTTAGCCCAAGGCCTGGCTCAGACACAGTGAGCGTGCATCAGGTGTGCACCAGGCCTAACATTTGGGTAAGGGGAGTTCAAGAGATGGTGAAGGAAGCTCTGGGTAACAATACAGGGAGAGGTCACCCACATGGGTCTGTCCTGTCAACTGGGGGCCCAAAGAGCCAGGCTGAGGGCTGGCAGGGAGGGCTGCCTGGAGAAGGTGGCACCAGGCTAGCTTTGAAAAGTGAGCAATGGGGGAAGGCGTGCATGAGGTCGTTAACAGCCTTGGTGGTGGTACTCAGAAGGCCAGTGGGGAAGACACCTTCTCTTCATCAGGAAGTGGGCTCCATGTAGCAACCCTTCCCGCCTCCCAGACCCCCAGAAAGCTAAGCAGGCCTGGGGCTGTGAACTCACTGTGGCCAGAGAGATGAGGATCCTTTTGAAGTGGCCAGATGTGTCTGAACTTAGGGCATCCTCCAGAGACTTGTGATAGTCTGAGACAGAAAAAGGGGGTGTGGGCAGCTGCCGGCCGAGAAGGATTGGCGGGGGCAGGTCCTAGAAACTTAGACCTGAGCCACAGCAGTGTGGGCAGGGGTGGTGCAGATACAGGAGTTTGCAGCTGGTTCTTGGGGGCATCCAGCCGTTCTGCTATCGATCCTGGCACTGACAAGCCCATGAGCCCACCCCCTCCCTCTGCCCCTGCCCAGCTGAGGTACATCACATCTCACCTCTCCCACTTAACCACCTCCCTGTCCTCATTCTCTCCTCCACCTTCCCTCCTGCATGGCAGTTGCTGGACCTACAAGCATTGCTCTGACCATGTCACTCCTCTGCTCAAAAATCCTACCATTTTATAGCTGCTTACAAAGAAAAGGTTCAAACATTTTTGACTGATACTCAAAGTTCTTCAGAATAATATGCAACCAAGCATGGGCCTTTTGAGATTGGGGCTGCCCCCTGTGAAGCCGCCCTCTCTGGGGGCCTGGAAGCTCTCTCCTGCCACCCCCAGTCCAACTCTCTTCTGCCGCCAGGCCTTTGTCCAGCTGGGACTCTGCCTGGGGCACCCTTTCCTCAGACTCTGGGCTGGGCACACCCAAGGGGCTTATCAAAGCCTCGTGGCCTCAGAGAAGGGAGACAGAGAAGAGCTGTGGGCCAGGTTGGAAGACGGGAGACCTGGCTCCTCTCCCACTCCCCTTCTAGGGGCCTTGGGCCCCAGGCTACCTGCACTCACCTTCTTTATAGGCCTCATTGATGGCCCGTATTTCTGCATTGGTCCGAGTAGCTAGGATTTCAATGAGAGTCTTTTCATCTGTGCCAGCTCCCTAGAATGTCAAAGCAGAAAGGACCTGAACCACAGCCCTGATCCCCACACAGAGGCTAAGAGGCCCAGGCCAAAGAGGCCCCTGCTTCAAGAACGCTTCAGGAGGCAAACACTCAAGCTACCAAGTCTTCCTGGACTTTCTCCTCAACCCAAGACATGGCCCCCAGACCAGAAACCTTGGCACGATCAGGGCCAAACATGCCAGCTTCCAGAGCCTTCCATGAGAATTGCTTTGCACCAAAAATTAAAAAGAGAAGAATATATGGAATTTGGGTATATGTGTATGGGTATATAAAAATGCACATGCACATGTGAATAAAAATATTTGTATGTAAGTATATAAAAAGAATAGAGCATATTACAGTATAAAAGTGATTATGGTCTCTGGGTCAGTGAGGGATCTGTATGCATTTTTTTCAAGTTTTCATGGGGAGCACATATTATTTTGTCACAAGAAAAAAGTTTGGTGCTTTCATGCTGTATTTGTTTCTATTTGGATCGATGAGTGGTATATGGACTGATACATTAGGTCCTCTGGACAAAGGCAGCTTGGGGAACCTGCTACTCAAAGGTCCTCACTTTGGGAGAGAGGAAGTAGGTGGACAAGCCTGACTGACTGATTCAACTCTCTGTTAAACGCCTGCAGTGTGGTGGTCACTGCACAAGCTCGTAGGGCTGCAGCTACAAAGAAAGGTAAGGCATATTCCCCACCCTGGAGATTACTACTCAGTGGTCAGCCAGTCCCTGGTCCTCTGATCTGAAGGAGAATGAGGCTGACTGAGATCTTCAATAGGCTCTTTATTAAAAGCAGCCTGTGGGGAGCCAGCTTCATCCCGGAGCACCCTGAGACCCAAGGCCGGACCCCATCCTCCCCTGTTCACTGACTTGCTGCATCTCCCTGACTCCCACTTGTGAACTGTGGGAGTGGGAAGAGCTGGGTCAGGGTAGCTCGCTGGTCCTTTCAACCTCTATACTCCATGTGTCTAAGTCATTTGCCTTTTTTGTCCAGGCATTTTAAAAGGACAATAATCTTAATTTGCTTTGCCCAGAGAATGTCTATTCTTCTCTTAACCCTTAAGGGGCCAAGAGCCCTTGGGGTTTCATGTGGTTGTCAAGTGAGGCTCTAGAGTCAGACTTGCTTTGAATCCCAGCCTTGCTACTTGATAGCACTGTACCTTTGACCAAGTACTTTAACCTCTAAGCCGCAGTTTCCTCATCTGTAAAATGGGGTCAAAATAAAAGCCTTGCCTCATGGGTCGATGAGATAAGTAATTGGGCTAAAACACTTAGCTCAGGAGAGGTCACCACATGCTCCAAATAAAGAAAGTAGGCTCCATTACAGTCAGTGTCTTGAGAAGCAAAGCAGCCTCAGCAACAGCTGGGCCAAGACACAGTGGCCTTCCTTGCTGACCACAGGGTCAGGTCTTCAGGCAACAGTGCCTGTCATATCCCTGAGCTTGCCCGACACACCCGTGTTTGACGGTTAGGGATGACTGTTCCCACTTCACAGCTAAAGACACAGAGGCTCAGAAAGGGTAGTGGTCCAGGGGAGTTCGTGACAGGACTGGACTAGAATACAGACTTATGCAGCTGTTGTGTCCCTTCCAGACCCATCCTGCTTCTTCTAGCTGCTCCGTGAGGTCCCTCTGACCCCTCTGCTGGCTGGGAATGTGATCCCACTTGAATCAACCAGAGTAAAAGCCAAGACTTTGGTGGAATTCTTGGGAAGAAGGAACTCTGTCTGCTGGAGGTGCTGGCCAGTAGGATGTACCCAGGCCATCCTGCCACCATTGGGGTGAAAAGCTGCCTGAGGGGAGCCTCCACACAGGAGACATGAACCCAGGCAGGAGAGAGTCGACAGTCCATATAAATCTTTGCGAGTCCCTGGATTCAGCCATGTCTAAAGCCAGATCGAGTTCTGTACTTTTCAGTTATGGGGGCCAACACCCCTTTTGTGTTCATGCCCGTTTGAATTGGGTGTGGGAGGGCCTCTACCCAGGAGTCACAACCAACCCACCTGGGCTTGTGAAGAGCCCATGGGTCTCCCCAGCACCCAGAGACTGGACCCCACTCCTTTGGTGCTCACACCATACCTCCATGGCCTTCTTCAACTGCTTGGCATCGTAATGGGCCGGCAGCATCATGAGCCCCAGAATCAGCCTCGCCAGGTCTCCAGAGAGCTCAGACTTCAGGTCAGCCATCAGGTCCTGAAAAGGGTAGAGTCAAGGTCATACCTACACCAGCACTTGCCCCACGTGACCCAGGACGGGGAGGAGACATGGCACAAGGGGATGGACTCCCCATGGGTGCAGGAGAGCGGGAGCCTGTCTTTGCTGGTGCTGGTTTATTTAGAGGAAAACAAAGAGGGTTGGACAAAACAAGAAGACTGCTCTCCTTGGAGGCAGGAGAAAGGGAGGAAGGGGGCACTGCCAAAGGGCATCATTTCCATCCTGGGGAAACTCGCCAGCTAAAATGAGATGCTACTGAAGCACAGCAGTCTGAGACACTCAGCCTTGGGACCTTGAAGCCTCTCTGCAGAGGGAACTGTGAGATAAGAAAAACGCTGCATGAAAACAGCTATCTGTGAACTCAGCCCCCAGCCGAGCTACACCAGCATCACTGATCATAAGGAACTAGGGGAGTGGAGAGAATGTGTCTGCAGGCAGCCCAAACCCAACGCTGGAGACACTCCGGAACACCTGACCATGGGGGTTCCACGGGGGCCCAACTGTGCAGAGCTGGCTGGGACAGGCCGAGGGCCGTCAGAGGAGGCGTGTGGGTGGGGGCTCAGGGCCCAGGCTGAGGCCCTTACCCTGCCAAAGTGAGACTTGAAGACCTGCCGGATCTGCTGCCGCTGGGTGTTGCTGCGGTGCGTGATGATGTCAATGATGGTGTCCTCATCAGTTCCTGAGTGACCCAAGCCACACAGCTCACGGGAAGGCATGTGGCCCAGAATCCCCCATGTGTCCCCACTGATGGACCCCATCAATCTCTGCCAGGGTAGAAGCCTGGCTGGGCAGCCAGGTGCGTCAGAGCCTCTGCAGGAGCCTCTGGGCCAAGCCACTCACTTCCCCGGAGCCCCTCCCTACACTTCCTTTTGTTTAATTGCTGGTTCAGGAAAAGACTCCAGGGGAAGCAGAGTTCTAGTCTTGACTCTGGCAATGGCTGAGCAAGTCCTATCCCCTTTCTGGGACTCAGTTTCCACAGTAACATGAAGAGGCTGGAGTGGTTATAAAGGATCCCTCCAACTTGGCAATCTATGCCCCACTGGGGACCCTAGGAGCTTTCTCATCAGTTCCCTGAAAGCTGGATCCCAAGTCCGCTGAACCACAGCAGACTGACTGGAAGGCACCAGGACATCACTTCCTGCTTGTCAGATTAAGGCCATCAACCTCAGACCTGGCACGGGAGTCTCTCTTTCAAAAACATTTTTATACCTGTCAACTTACATATGCTTAAACATGCTTAGTCACTACAATCATTCCCGAGAGACCAGTGAAATGAGGCCCAGAAGGTAGAGAACTAGGCCAGGGCCCCCTTGGAGGTGCTGTGGGACAGGTGCGGGGGAGAGGGCAATGGAAACCACGCTGAAGATGCTCGGACCCCACCGGCCTTCCGGAGGCCATCCGCCCACCGGGTGCCGAACGGAGGCCAGGAGAGGGTGACCAGCAGGGGGCGCTCGCGATACGGCTCCTGAGGGGATGGAGACACTGGTCTTCAGGAAAGGCCTGCACCAAGTTCCTGACAAACCCCTCGCACCCCTGACTACACTTCGGAAGCCAGGAGCCTCCGCAGGAGGGTGGGGACTACAGTAAAGTCCGCATCCTGGGGACCCTGGTTCCAGGCCTTGGCTCTTGCTCCTGCCCAAACCACTACCGCACCTGCCACGTCTGCTGCCCAGGAGGCCAACGCCACCCCCACGTCCCCTTACCAAGTCCCTTCATGGCCTTCCGCAGAGCTTTGGCATCTGCATCAGGACTGAAGTTATCAGCTGGGCGCACAGTCCCCTTCAGCTGCAAGAAGCAGAAAGAGACTCAGCAGGTGTCTGGAGGCCCCCCTGGGGGCCAGGCCAAGAGAGGAGCATGCAAGGGAGGGGAGGCCCTCCCCACGAGCCCCAAACCAAGCAGCCTGGGGGGAAAGAGGCGGGAGTGAAGGTGCAGCAGACAGACCCCTGCCCTAGAGCTGACAGGGAGAGGGAGAGAGACTGACCCTGGCCTGGGGGCAGGGCAAGTGCTGGTCAAGGGAGAAGCAGCTGGGCTCCTGCCCCAGGAGTCAGCTCTGTCCTAGCACCACTGGGGCCTCCCCGGTCCCTTGGAATCCTGCCCTGTCCCCTAGGCCCGCCTGCCTCTTAAAGATCCCCTCCACCTGAAAGGGCACCTAAAGGTTCTAAAATACCAGAGCAGGGCTTCCGAAATTTCAGTCACTCCTAAGTGACCGTCATAATGTTTCCTATTTGTGTACACCATGTTATTCCTTAATATTTTTACTTAATTCAACTTCTTTTCTGTTTTACTTAAATACATTAATTTTGAAGTGCATTTAAATACTCCTAAAGGACAAGGACTTTAGTAAACTTTGTTCTTGGACATATCCCAATTGTCTACAACAGAAGTAAGCACTCAGACAATAGCTGCTAAATGAATGAATGAATGAAAATAAGTGTGTATCACTATCAGGAATAAAAACTTGGTATCATGGGCCATAACAGATGACAACCCATGAAAACTAATGTGATAAAAAAAAAAAAAAACACCTGGTCAAATGTCACCAAATTGAATGAGATGCTGTTGCTTGTTAAAGGCTCTGAGCTTACAGCTCATTCTCTCAGTTCTGTCAAAAAGGAAAATCAGCGAGCACAGCACCAAAGCAGGACTGACAGAATCAGTGAGGTTGATGAAATCAAAAAGGAACCGCTCTCTCTCAGTGTGAGGTTCCGTGTTTAATGCCTAAGTAAATTCACTTCATATAACTTAAGATCCTCTGCAATGACAGTTCTTGCCTTATAATTTGGGAAATGCTGCTCTAGAATATCAGAGCCTGAGAGCCCTCAGATTGCCATATCTAATGCCTTCATTTTAAAGATGGCGACAGAGGCCCAGAGAGGTGGGGACCTGCCAAAAGTGGCACAGCGTGTGAGTAACAGAAGAATCCAAGGTTCTGAATATTTTGTGTGGACCTAGTGCTACTAGGCCCTGGAATGGTTTGCTCCAAGTACATGTGTGAACCCTGGGTCCACCTTCTCACCCTTTATGCACCCTCAGTCTGAGGATGGTCAGTGCACCCGTGAGGGCCCGCACCTGGGGGGTGCCCATCTGTTCTCAGCTTCCATGCCTCCAAAGCCCAACTGTGGGACCCAGGATGGGATAGTGTCCCCGCCCCCCACAGAACCAGACAGGTTTCCACCTGGCAACGCCTGTTAGTAGTTAAGTGGGCTAGAACACTTCCTAGCATGTTAGAAGTTAATGCAGGAATGAGGTGCCCAACCAGAGTGCCCACCCGCCAATTTGTCACTCCAAGAAGAAAAGCAGCTTCAGATGTGAGAACCAGTGTCTCGGGTTGGCCACCAGGGGACAGCTGGGTGCCAACCACAGCAGCAGGAAGGTGCAGGCAGAAAAGTGGAAGCTTGAGGTCAGGAGGTCAAGCAGGAGGTGGGGAGGGTCTGACCTCGACTCGGGCCACTGCACTAAGCTCCCACATCTGATAGGCCACCTGCGCTGCCTCCGGGAAGAACTGGCCAGCAGCACTGGAATGGAGGGGGTTGGGGAGAGGATAGGAGGGAATGTCATCACAGGCACCACACCACACACACCACACACACCCAGTAAATCCGCCTGGCTTCACCTTCTCTCCAGCCTGCTCTCATCCATGTATCAGAGCCCTCCATTTCTGAGAACCTTCTACCCTCTTGAGACCCCTGCAATGCTGGCTGTGCCCAGCAGCCTTCCTGGCCCTGGATGTCAAGCAGGACAGGATTTCTCTGATCCTTTGACCTCCCTTTCCTTAAAATTCTTGTGATTTCCATCTAAGTCTCTCCTCTCCGACAAGTCGACAATCAGTTTATGGCCACATTAGTTCTACAATCTTCTCCTGCAAAGCACCTCGATATGTCAGGTGCTCAGTAAATGGATGCTGAACTAGAATCAGCTCCTAAGGCACCTGCCAAAGGTTGATAGGAGGCTGCTGTATCCTTTACTTAACAAGGCCTAGGCGGGGGTGGGGGGTGGGGTGGGGAATAGCACCTGTCTGTTCCCAGCACACAAATCTGCTCAAGTCATGCCTCGATGTAAAGGCCCCCTTTACCCTCAGGAGAGGTTCACCCGCCAGGAGGAGGTTGCCAGGCCCTCCTAGCCCTCTGCCTCGTCTCCCCCCACCATCGCTCGGCAGAAGTGTGACCTCAGTTACAGAAATGAGCCAGGCTGTTGCTTCTCGTCTCTAGGCCTTTCTTCCACCCAACACATGCTCCTCTAGACAGACCCTGTCTTCACTTCCTCCTCGTCCTCACCCTTCTCCTTGCGTCTCAGCCTCATTATCTCCAGCAGCCTCTCCTCTGTCTGGGATAGTGCCCCTGTGCGTGTGTTCACACACATGTATCCTTTCCCCATCCCAGGACTGCCCCGTACGTACGCCCTGGTCTATGCCCATCTAGGCAGTGGGCTTCATCACATGCTTCCCCACAATGCCTGCACACTGGAACACACTTAATACACATGTGCTGAATAAATGAGTAGGGAGAGCAGACATCTGTGTTTTTTCCATTTAACAGATGATGAATCTGAGAAGCAGCTAAGAAGTAGCAGGGCCTGGACCTCCGATGCTGATTCCTAGCCTCACTCCTGGACTGACTTTCCAAGTTCATGAGAGCAGATGTGTCCAGGGATGGGAGACCACACTCACGCTCACATCCAGACACTGAGGCTTTCACCTGTGCAGTGCTCCTGCTTCTGAGGATCCCCAAGCTCATCCAGTCCATCCATCCACCAGGGTGAGGGCCAGGGCAGCCCTGGCCTGCCGCCCCCCGAGGCCACTCCCTCCAGCCTGGGCCAAGAAGTCACTTACTCGTCATCTCCCCCACACAGCTTCAGCAGAGCCTTCTTGTACTCGCCAGAGGTGTCATTCTGGGAAGAAAGAAGCCCTTTCAGACCAGCAGGAAATGCTGGGCACAGTTCCCAATAGGGGAAGGCTGAACACTTACTCACAGCAGCCCTGACTCTCCTGCTATCTGGAGGGGGCTGAGACCACCACACAGCGGTGTGCTAAGTACCTAACAACTGGCTCTTAGGGGGAAAAAAAAACCCTGATCTGTAACATTTACCTGTTTCCGTGATGTGAATATTTGCAACAATGAGTAATTTCCAGCTATCAATATTATGTCATTGAACAGGAAACTGGGAAGAGAAGCTATGCTCTCTGCTCTCCTGAGCCAAGGTGAGCCAGGCCCAGCCACACCACTGCCACCAGATAATGGCAGCCCAGGCCTTCTAAGTGAAATAGTCCATGAACACAGGGCACCATGAACAAAAAATACTGGGAAATGCCAGAACCAAACAAATGTGTATTTGATAGATGTAGCCTATTTGGTATCTCTTTTGGAGCTTCCTAATAGACTTACTATAGTAAAGGCTATGAGAAGTTCTCAGGTAAAGAAATTGGTTTACTTTGCTTATTCTAGTTTCTTCCAAACATCTCCCATGATACACTTTTGGTCATACTACTACTATAATTCCTCTTGGAAAACATACTTTGGAGAATGTAGCTTGAACCCATAAAGCTTTAATCTTATTCACCCCCAAAAAAGGAGAAAAACTCAACTCCACATCTGTCTCTTGACCAAGTCTCAAGTCTCATGGGCTGGACACCCCAGAGTCATCACAAATCACCGGGCCCATGGCCAACATTTCTCAAATTAACTCATTTGTGCTCTCAATGTCCCACCTTCTTCCAGGAGATGGAACTCTCACTGCCCTTGGGATGGAGGTCTCATCCTTAATTCAGCTTGTGTGCCCTCAAGACCCAGCCCTGCCTGCCTCCTGAGCTTCATGACTCACAAGCACCCCTAGACACTCGCTTCTCTGTTGAACTGCCTTAAACTCTGTGAATGTGTCACAAGGCAGGGGCTTCTGGAATTCCCCAGCAATTCCCAGCTTCCCAGGCCCATTTCTGTCCTCCAGGGGGTGGTCCCCAAGCCCTGCCACGGCCGTGAGCTCTCTGCCCCTCTCTGTGCCCCTACTGGCCCTGCTCACCTTGATCATGCTGTAGAGCGACTTTTCATACTTGGTCCGGAATATCTCCCGAATGTCGAGCATGTCCAGCTCACTGCGGGAGACCATGATACGGATCAGGGTGTTGTCTCGCGTCCCCAGGCCCTGGAAGAAAAGTGGGTTCGGGAGACAAGGACTCAAGAGGAGGCTGAAGGGCTGAGAGTCTGCAGCTTAGTTGAAAATACAATAAAAATAATAAAACATTAAAATTAAGAACAGAAGAAGCAGAACAATGCCCCTGGCATGTCCCTCCTTTTATCTCCTCCCTCCCCACCCAACGTCTTTTCCAAAGTGGTCTTATCTACTGTATATACTGTATGTATACACCTATTATATACTGTATATAAACATTCTGGCTAGTTAGTATTTTTTAAAAGTGTGGGTTTCCAACCCATCTGGCTGGGTGGATTGGTTGCAAGCTGTCTCCGCACCCTCTGGTCAGTCGTGAGGTCAGAGCAGGTGTTTGTGTGGGAAGGGGTGCGACCAGACAGCATCCCTGGCTCTGGAGCCCACCTGGGACACAAGCCATCACTCTTCCCTGCAGCCAATCCCTTGATGGCTCTTTTTGGCTAGTGGACCCCACAGACTTACCAACAAGCTGGGGCAGTCCTGTGCGGGTGGGCAGAGACCCCTCCCAACCTCAGTCACACTAACCCCACCACACACCTTCATGGCCTTGAAAAGCCTTTCAGCAAAATACGCTGGGGTGCTCCGGACACACTTCACTGAGAAAAGGAAGAGGCAGAGTTATACTCCCCCTTGGAAGGGGCTGGGGTGGCCTAACTCCTTCTTTGTTTTTATCCCCTGGGTACCACCAAGTTCAAACCCAGGAGGAACCCTGGCTCCTGATACCCCACAGCCTCAGGGCATCTCAGACCCACCCACTATCACCACAATCCCAGAATATACAGAAATCAGGAAACGGGGGTGTTGAAATGTACATGTTGCCTCTCGAAAACCCACTTCATCTTTCTAGTCCTTTGGGATTTCACAGGGAACTGGGCCAGGTTGGGGGTAGCATCTAGGGTGGAGCTGGGAAAGGAGTTTCTTTAGATTATAATACACCAGAAAGGTACTGGCAGCTAAATCACTTTGGATCCTGCTGGGCCACAACCTGGATAGCTGAAATTGGGTCAGCAGGGGACAGCTATGGGCAGGAAGATGAGCTCTGGGCTGTAGGTCTGCACAGGAAACATACAACCTACCCTAGGCTCAGACATACAGACTCTTAGAATGTCAGGCTTCCAAGGGGCTCTGGGTCAGCCAGTCCACCCCTCTACCCCCATTAATCAGACAAGTTAATTGAAGTCCAGCAAGGATAAATTACTCACTCCAAGTCAACAGCAGAAGTGGGGGAAGCCCTGGGTTTAAATCTTGATTCCACTATTGACTAGTCAGCTTCTGGCACCCTTCATTATAAAACTACCCCCAGTTCATTACAAAACTACCCCCAGGCAAGTGATACAGCCTCTGTGAGATGCAGTTTCCTCACTTGTGAAATGGAGATGACAGTGCCCACTGGGTCTTCTCATGATTAAATGCTCAGCACAGAGCCTGGCACACAGTACATGCTCCATACAAGTCTGTGCCCCTGATCATTATTTCCTGACCAGAGGCTCAGCACTCTTTCTCGCCCTATCACACACGCTGGAGCAGGGGGCGGAGGGAAGCCAGTGCCTGAGGCTTGACTACCTGCCTCCCTGGACTTTAGAATTCACTGCCCATCCAGTTCTCTTTCCCATCTCCTTTCCTTTTCCATTCTCGGCCCCTTGTTCCTGAGCCAGAATCCCAGAATCCTTTGAAGCCCTTGGGAGTGCAACATCAGGACATACCCACAGCCAGCATCAGCTTCTCAAAGTCCCCGGACAGCTCCCCTCGGATGCTGGCTTCGATTGGCTTCCCCGTAGTCTTCATATATTCATCAAACACTGAGTTTGAGAGAGAGAGAGAGAGAGACAGGGATATGGAGAGTGCCCCCATCACATTGAGAAGAAACGGGGACTTCAGACGGAAGGGCACCATGGCCAGGACCAGAGTGGCCAGTGCAAATGTAGGGCTGCTGGCAGGGAGGAGATGCATGTCACCAGCCACTGTGTACTCACGCTGTGTACACTGTGAGGGGCTGCGTACAGCTCACAGTCCAACCTTAAGACAGGACTGGTACCCAGACTGAAGGGCTGAGCATCCTGTTAATGACTCTGGAGAGGGACTATACAAACCACAGCCTAATAAAACCAGAACCTGGTATCCAGGCTGCCGATGAGGTGGCTACCATGCTGTTAGTAGAGAAGGAAAAGAGAAAGGGGTTCTTGACACGACCTCAGGGGGCGGCCACAGGTCCTCTCTGGAGCTTACCCAACCGAAGATGCTGCTTGCTGCGATTTCCCAAGATGTAAATGAACTGGGCTTCATCTGTTCCCCATTTCTGTTCCCCTGCCTCATATAGGTCCTGAAGGGGAAGCAGAGGGACTTAACTGGAAAAGAAAACCTCAGAAGATAGGACCCACTGGCCGCCACTCGGAAATGCTGCTGGATCCCTGAACATGCCTGTGATTGTAGCCTCAGGACTTTGCATATACCTATATACCTTTCTTCTTGGGAGAAACTCCTACTCAACCTACGAGACCCAAATTAAATGTCCTATTAGTCTCCAAAGCACTTCCTGATACCCCTAGGCAGCATTCTCTTTTCTTCCCTCCCTCTTCTAGGCTCCTATAGCTTTCTGCTTCCTGATAACTTTGATCTACTATATACTGCAATGATTTTTTCATGTGTCTGTCTCCCCACTATAGTATGGGTTTCTTGAGGGCAGGAACGATGTCTTAGAATTCTCTGTATCTACTCCTGAAATATTATTGGCAGTACACAGTGGGGGCTCAAATACCTGGAGTGTATGGTATAGCCGGAAGTGTTTGTGTGACTTTGTTCATTAGTGATTCCCCAATGCTTGGCAGAGTACCTGGCTCATAGCAAGTGTTCAATAAGTCTTAAAAGACTGACTGAACAAATGAGGAAAGCTCCAAAATACAACTTACCGATTTTACATATGTATGTTTGAAAGATAATTTAAGTCCTTTCTTCAACAAAGCACTGTACAAATGACGGCTATGAGTCAGTTGTTTCTGGCATTTGATGCAAATTACTTTGCCCCTAGCCCTTCCCCAGATCCCCAGCCCTCCCCTTTCTTAGAGCTCCCTGCCTGTACCTCGGGGAGCTGCTTGTTTACCTGGACATCCTGTTGCACCAAGTCCTCGCTCACTACATCGTCCTCCTCCCTGGTTCCCTGGGAAGAGAGATGGGGGACACGTGGTTCAAATACCAGAGCCAGGGGAAGGCATGGATACCAGTGGTGAGACCAGGAGGACTGGGAAAACTGAGTTGGCCCCAAATGTCCAGGAACAGTGACTTATACCATCTATTTTGCAGGGAGTCATAGGGTCCCTCCCACTGGCTTCTTCCTTCATCCTTGGACCTGGGACCAAACAGGGGAGCCCTGAAAATAACCAAGGTCCTTCCAGGTGCCTCTGCCCCAGAGGAAGCCAGAGTCTTGTACTGAGAAGTTCTCTGGGGACAGGGCCCCTGCCACAAGTCCAGGCCTGGCCCACGATTCCCCCCAACAATAATATCATAGGGGTAAAAAGTCTGCACCTTCGTGATCCACAGGGGCTCCTAGACCTTAACCCAAATAATTCACCAATGGGGATTTGAGACCTGGGCCCTGAGGTCTTGAGCTCACAGGCTGTGAAGGCTCCAAATCCACTTGTGTTTCTGTGGCTCTGCCCATGCCCACTACTCCATCTGACAGAGCAGGACACTCACTGGAGCCAGCCCTACAGGGCTCCTTGGCTCTGTGGGCAGAGGCCAAGCCTATGCCTATCTCTTCCCCTAGAATGTGCATTTCAAGATCTCAAATCCCCTGGTTCTCTTTGGAACTAAGCGTAAGACAGAGGTGGCACACTTATAGTCTGTGCCATGTCAGTGCCCCCCTGCTGTTAGATGCTGAGGTGGTAACATCTTTGCCTCCAAGACCCAAGCAGGAACTCATCTCTCTAGAAAAAGTGGCTTTGAAAAATGGGGTAAAGGCCACACTTTTCCACTCCTGATGATTCTGACAATTCTCTAGTTGCTGAATATGGTATATCTCTTGTTATAGTAATGGAGGGAGAATATTATCCTGAGAGCAGCAGGTGTAAAGTGGGAGTGGGAGAGGAGAGGGTGAAACAAAGAGATGGCTTAATTTATATATAAAACTTCCCCTAAAGATTTGGTCCTTGGAGCTGGGCTTGAAAACATCTCAATGCCTGGTCCCACAGGCCCATGGTCACAGATTCCTGTGGGGCTGGGCAGGTGAAAGTGAAACAGCAGAGGGGGACATGTCTTCAGGTCCACTTCAGTCATGCAGAATGCAGGCCTGCCTTTACCAGCACTTCCAGTTATTCGAAAGAATCTAGAAATCTGGTTTTCAAAACAAAAGCTCCCTACTTTTCAGTGTTAGCAACCAATTCAAAGTGTTGTTTAAAAAAAACACATTCTATGGGAACACAAAGAAAAAAGTTCAACTTGACAGACTGAATTAGCTGTGGACACCAGTTTGCAACATCTTTACGGCCTTTTTTATGTACAACTTGGGTGGGAGGGAGGAGTAGCAGGGCTTGGCTGCAGAAGATGCAAAGCAGACAGCCCCAGAAATGACACATCATGGCTGATGACTCGGGTACCTACTGTGGCTTAGAAGGCAATGGCAGGAGGGGAAGAGGTGCCTGTGGATGAGGGAGGAAGCCACAGGAGAGGATATTCCTTGGCACGCAGAGAAGGGTTGTGTGTGCCTGCCAGCCTGTGCACACTGGGGTTGGAACTGGCCCTGCACTATCATACTCTACACCCAGGGGAAAAGAGAGAAACCACCTCAAGTTTGAGGACAAAAATGGGCAGTTGGGGGAGGGGAAGGCACATTTTACGAGGAAGACTTTATAGCTGAGGAGCCAAGGAGTCCTCTCGGGCCACCTTGTCTGGGTGAATGGCAGATGGTGCCCATGGATGGCCCTTTGCCTGTGCTCTGGTAGAAGGCTCTGGAGGGTCTTAGGGCCCCAAGGTGGACTAACCTGGAGCAGAACCACAAGCATCTTCTGGAAGTGGCCAGAGGTGTCGCCAATGATGTCAGCCTCCAGGTCACGCTCGTAGGCTGCAGGGAAGGAACACAAGCTCCAGCCCCACCCCCAGGAGACTTCAGGGAGCCAGGATAAAGGTCCCTGCTGCTCCCAAAACAGCTACGTATTTGTTACAAATCCCAAAACCCAGTCTCTGTGACAGCCATGGCAAGACACAGGATGCATTCCCACAGTTCTTTGTGCTGACCCATGACACCGTGAGATGGAATCTGTCCAATTCTCTCTAAGCCCACCGGTGCCATCCTACTCCCGCCACCGTCATGACTCCCCTGGATGGTGGCTACAGCCTCCTGACCGTGCTACCCGCTTCTGCTCTCACTCCTTCTCTAACCACAGCTAAGCAGGTGACTGTCCTAAAGCTCGTATCTGATGCTTCCCAATGGATGAATCAGAAAAAAACACCATCCCTTTCTCTTGGCCTACAAGGCCCTGCATGCTCCTGCCCTGCCTGCCCAGTGGCTACCAGGCTCATTTCTGCTCCAGAGCCTTTGGACTTGTCATTCCCTCTGCCTGCCAGGATCTCCTCCCACTCTTTAAATGACTGATTCCTTCTCATTCCCTCCCAAGACAGGTTTCCCCTGGCCACCCGTCTGAAGCAGGTCCGCCCCAGGTAAAGTCTCATTCTGTCCTCCTGTCTGTGTCCTTCGCAGCCCTAGACCACATGCATCACCACCATGTTCTCCGGTGTATCGTCCGTATCCCTCCCTACCTCACTGGTCTGCAAGCTCGAGGAGACACTGACTACAAGGCCTGCCCACCGCCATATCCTGAGAATCTAGGACACCACTCAGCACAGAGTGGGTACTTATTATATAGACAGATGAGAAGAAAGGAGGAAAAAGGGTGAATAGAGACTTAGGGTCCCACCCTTGCAATCACCCTCATTCTGTATCTGAAAATCCTGAATGGCCACTCTTGCCCATCTCACCATCTTTGTATGCTGCCACCAGTTGGTGGATTTGCTCATTGGTCCGGGAAGCCAAGATCTCAATGAGACACTTCTCATTGGTGCCAATGCCCTGGGAGAAGAGAAGGGGCACATGAGTCAAGGGCCGGGATTCAAGGCCACGAGCCATGGGCTGGGATCCTGGAGTGGCCAGAGCTATCAAACCCCCAAGTTCAGGTTGCTCCTGTCACACTTAATAGCCACTGACCTGGAGCTGCTGGCCCAAGAATCAAAACATGGATTCTAGTCCCACCTCTGTGAGCTGCTTGCTTTGTGACCTCTCATTAAGAAACTTTGTCTTTTGGGGCCTCCATTTTCTCATCCATAAAATGGAGATGATACTAGTTCTGCAAACTACAGGGCGATTGAAAAGGTAATAATCTCTAATATTGCTAATTGTTCATAGAGCACTGAAATAAGCTCACATTTAATAGCGCACCTAAGGCAAAGATCATGGCACCTTATAAACTGTAAAGTGCTAGGTACCCTTAAGGGCTCTTCGAAGTCTCTCTGCTTCCTAGGCAACAACTCTTCACCTCGCCAGACCGAGGTGCTCATATCCTGAACACACCGGCACAAGCCCTGCTGGCGTTGGGAGGGCCTTCCCACTCTGATCAACCAAACGCTCCCCAGGATTCAGGGCTCAAGTCGATTCTCTCATCCTCCGGGACACTCTCCCAAGCTACCCCAGGGCAGGGCCTGCCCTCCCAACTTCCTCTAGTAGGCTCTTGGCCTTTGGGTGTTGGACACAATTTGTCTCCACCTCCCTATATATCCTACTTCCTCAGAACTACAAACTGGGATCGGGGCCAAAGGCCCCCTTTCATGGGGTCTGCCTCACACTGACATCTGTTCCCCATCTGTCCATCTGGCGGAGACCACGGTGAGCCTCCAGGACAGGGCTTGGGCAAGCTGCCTCTTAAAGGAGGGCGCCTCGCTGAGTGGGTGCAGGGCTCCCTGAATCCTTGCTGTCAAGGCCAGAATCTTCTCATTAACCATGCCTCGACCCCAAACACATGCAGACCCATGCCTCTTACCGAGATGGCATCTTTAACTTCTTTGGCATCACAATAGGCAGGTGGCCTCATCAGACCCACAATCAGTCGTTCAAACTTCCCTGTCAGCTCATACTTCAAGTCAGCAGTGAGGTCCTGGGGAATGGGAAGAGGGCAGAGGAGATGAAGGGGTTAGGGGAGAAGCACTTATGATGATAAGAATTGCATTTAATGAGCATTTACTGTCAGGCACTGGGCTAAGTGAGCCCATTTGATCATCGCTCTTGGAACTACTGTCAACAGCCCTAAGAAACGGGCTTGGAGATGTCAGTAACTTGCCCAAATGGTTAGTAACAGCTGGCAAGCGGCGGTACAGGACCCAAGTCCCTGGCCTCCTGACTCCTCCCACCATCCTGTTTATTTACTGTGTGTCTCTCCCACTGTCTGTGACACCACAGGGTTGACGCCTCACAGGGCTCATTTGTAGCCCTAAGGCCTAGTCCAAGCCCATCACACAGCAAGCATTCTAGATGTATTTGTGGCTGAATGGTGCCTGACTGAAGACAAGAAAAAAGGAGGGCAAATTGCCAGAAGAGGCTGACCTAGGGTAAAATACTAAACCACAGACCCTGAAGGAAGACACAGGTGAATGAGATCGTTGCCCCAGCCCCACCCCACCTGCCCTCTGGCCACCATGATTACCTTCCCATAGAGGGACTTGTAACTCTGGCTGATCTCCTGCCTCTGCCTGTTGCTCCGGGATGTGATCAGCTCCAGCACAGCCTCCTTGTCACTGCCTGGAAGAGGGAAGGGCATTGTCACCCTACTCCACCCAGCCTCCAGGAAGCCCACCAGGATTGCTCCCTGCAGTCCTTGAGGCCTTCTGCTCATGAGGAGGTGATGTTGGCGGGAGACCTAGGGGGACCTGTCAAACCCCCACTGAGAGGGATCACAGCACACACAGTATCTGAGCTAAGACAGCCCAGGATCCAGCGACTCATCACACAAATAAGGTAACTGAGGCCCAGAAAGGGGCAAGGATTAGTCCAAGATCTCACAATGAGCATGGTTTAGCAAAACCCAGGTATCCTAACACTCAAGAACAAGCTTCTTGCCATGACAAGGAAAACAGAAGAAAAATAAGCACAAAATTCAGGGGAGTGGCTCCCGTAAGAGGAAGGGCAGGCGGCTTATTGCAGGAAGGGGACCTACCCCAGGAGATTTCACCTCTATGAGCAAGTGCTATTTCTCAAGTGCGGTGGGAGGCCTATGGGTAAAGCCTCTATTACTCTTTGGACCTTGTGGTTAATCTGGACTATTTCATTAGAAGATTATGAAAAATTATTAAAAGAGGAGACAAAAATAGGAGTGAGGACTTCTTACCATCTCACACCTGCCCAGCCCTAAAAGAGCTCAACTGTGCTCAACTTGTGGGGACACCCCCAAGCCCCAGTGAATCCAATTTCCTTTCCTACGGGCCTTACTTCTAGGGGCCTAGCACCCACCGAAGCCCTTCATGGCTGTGTACAGTGCTTCAGCATCCCGGTTGGGGTCGAAGTCTGGGAAGTCATGAATGGAGCCGCGGTACTTGGCACCCTGTGGAGATAAAGGAAGAGGCGAGCTGCCAACCTGGCCCTCAACAGAGCCCCCAGTCCCAACCCCAGGCATGCTCCCCCCACCCCCCGGCCACAGGCGGAGTCCAGGCTGAGCTCTCTTCCCTTAAAACTGAGTGCCGACTAAGGAATCTTGGGCAGGGGTAGGGATCTCTCTCCCCCCCATCCCTCCTGCTACATCTGCCCTGGGGACAGTGCCATCTCCCCACGGGAAGGTGGCCTAACCAAGCCCACACCCCGGTACCCCCTTCTCAGGACCCAGGAGAGACAGAAAGCCAGGCTGAGTACAGCAGGTAGACATGATCCTGGCAAGAGTAACAGAGCTGCTTGTATTTTCAGGGCACTTTCTCATGTACAAAACCTCCATTAATGTGATTATTTTAGCAACTTGTAGAAGCACTGAAGATGATTTCTATCACAGAAACAGAGAAACCGAGCTGAAAGGAGGGAAGCCTCCTGCTGGGGTCACACAGAACCCAGATCTCTGGCCTATTCCCACTGCTCTCTAGCTCTGAAAACCTTGTAGTTGCCAGCTTCTGAGGGTCTTGGAGCTGTGCTTAGAGCTGTCCACAGAATCAGCACCAAGACGAGGTGCCACCCCTCTGGGCCCAGTAAATTGAGCTGTGAACTGGCATCTGAGGACAGGCTAGCTGGGCCCCTGGGGTGAAAGAGAAGAGAGGCAGAGCCAGAGGATCTTAGACATTGAACCTGAATGCACGATGGGCTGGCTCACAGAGAGGTCAGATGGGGGTCAGCTCCATGGCCTGGAGAAGTATGGGCCAGGAAAGTAGCTGAGAGTAGGGAGAGCCAAGGATGCCAGACCCCAAGCCACTGAGCGCACAGCACGGTGGAGGGCACTTAGCCTATGCCAGGCCCGATGCTAAGGGCTGAAGACTCAGGAAAAAAGAAGACCCAACCCTGACTCTCATGAGCTTCTGACCTAGTGGAGAAAGACAAGCATACAAATTAGTGTGAAGCATATAATAAATACCTTGAGACAAAGGCCAAGTAGTGTGGGGACAGTGGAGGCTGACTGAGCTGGGGCAGGGGACAACCAGGAAAGGCGTCATGGACAGGGTGGGGTGGCCCACATACACTGTGCCTTGAAGGAGTAAGAGGGGGACAGGCACAAATGAGGCCCTGACCATCTGCCATCCCACACTGCTAGACATGGCAGGCATCCAGATGCTGACTGGTTTCTGTCCACAGTCACTGGCTCCTCCAAGGCATGCGTGCCTGGGCACGGGGCTGCTATTTAAAGTTCTGACAGGGCGGGTGACCAGAAAGGGACACAGCCCTCTTCCCAACACCCATGAATCCCCTGCAACCTGATTACACCACTGCACAGAGAAGGAAAGAGTGCCACCTACCAAATATCCAGACCAGAAAAGATACTCCTGTTAGAAAGCCAAGTGCCTGTCCTGCTCAATGACATAGTCCCAGAACCCTGCTCAGGGCTAGGAACTCTTGAAATACTTGTTTCCTAGGTGGGTAGGTGGACAGATGAATGGCTGTCAATGTATTCTGGGCAGATCAAGGAGGCCTTGCTGGGGGTGACATCTAAGCTGATTCCTAAAGGATGAGTAACAGCTGACTCCAAGGGGTGGGGTGGGGGAAGCCTTCATACAGAAGAAAGAACATGGCACAGACAAGCAAGCCCACATTCTTCAGGGCTCAGGGCAGATGCCCAAAGCCTCCACCAGAGGGGGATTGTAAGTTATCTGAAGGGAATGAGAAGAGAAGATGGAAGCGTGTCCCCTGGATGAAGGGCAGAGGTCTCGGTAGCAAACCAAAGTCCTTGTCTCTGTTCCTGCTCCTCCACCGCCACCCGTCTCCCTCCACACACTGCAGTTTGGTGGAAGCACATGTGCAGAAGAGGCAGCAGTAAAGAAGATGAAGCAATGCCATCCTGGGGAAGGAAGCCTAAATGCAAAGTTTGACTGAAACATTTCCTTAAAGACATGTGGAGTGAGCAGCAAGGCCACTCGCCCATGCCTGGTTTTGCTCAAGGATAATAAAATCTTCCAAGGGGCTGCCTGCCAGATTAGTCATCCCAGGACTACTAGGGACCACAGCTACTAAACAGGCACAAGGGCCTTCACACTGGTCACATTGACAGACACAGAGACAGCCCTGCAAAGTGCCCAGGCCTGGGTTCCCACCATCAGTCATTTTCACACCAACTCAGTGGACTCTGCATCTCCAGGTACGACCTTTGCAGCTGCCCCCACTTCTCCACCTCACCCTGACTGCCGGTCACTCCTCAGGCAGCAGGTTCCTGGCCTCGGGTCCCCATGCTTAAGGAGACGGAAGAGCAGAGAGGGACTTTCCACCCTGAAATATTCAGCAGGTCCCGATGCCAGCTGATGAGCAGCCTGGACCACCTAGGCCGCTGCCAAATTAAGAGCCCGAGGCCCCCAGGGAGCAGAGCAACGTCACCCAGAGAGATGGCTGCCCAGCCAGGATTCACCTGAGTGCTGACTGCACCAGGCCTGACCTAAGCCTCGTCTCTCCAGGCACTAGTCCCTGCCACTCTCGTCCTGTCCTCAAAGTATTCTTATGCCCATTGTTTTGTTCAAACCTAGAACGTCTTGTGAAACAGGCCACAAAGCCAAGTCTCTGGGACCTTTCCATGACACCACATTGTTTCTTCACATCTTTGGGCTTTAAGTTCCCCCCTTCTGGAAGGAAAGATAGGGAGAAGAGCACAGTTATCACAGCAGAAGTAACTGGGGATGATCTGGACCTGAGGAAAGAAAGTGGCCTGCTGTGTGGTATGTGTGTGTGTGTGTGTGTGTGTGTGAGCCACAAAGCCAAGTCTCTGGGACCTTTCCATGACACCACATTGTTTCTTCACATCTTTGGGCTTTAAGTTCCCCCCTTCTGGAAGGAAAGATAGGGAGAAGAGCACAGTTATCACAGCAGAAGTAACTGGGGATGATCTGGACCTGAGGAAAGAAAGTGGCCTGCTGTGTGGTATGTGTGTGTGTGTGTGTGTGTGTGTGTGCAAGCGCGCGTGCGCGTGTGCTGGGAAGGGGATGCACTAGAAGCAGAACTGAAGTGCTAATAATTGGGAACAAGAAACACCAACTTCAGCTCAATGAAAGGAAGGCCCTCCCAGCACTTCTCTGTCCTCTGCAGCCTCCTCCCCTCCCCCAAACCCTTGTACTCTAAGCAAGCCAGGCTACTGCCCTGAACACACTACTCCCTCCGCTCCAGACTTGTTTGAGCATCCCCTGTACCTAGACTCCACTTGGCCCCCTTGCTGTTCCCTGAGAAGTTCTGTCCTGTCAGCCCTCCCCGTTCCCTCAACTTGCGTGCCCCCAGAGCTCCCCGACCATGGCATGAGCACTGTGCATGGGAAGGGCCCTAAGGCTCCACCCTGGGACTCTTGCTTGCAGGATGCCTACTGGCCCCTGGTCCATGGCAACAAGAAATCACAGGTCAGCCAGGCAGGCACCATGGTCTGGGAGCACTAGACCAGGAGTCCAAAGGTCTAGGTGCTAGTCCTGGCCTCTCTGGTCTCCCAGGGCCTGATGTGTCCATGCGGGTCATCTAGAACCCTGTAATTCAAAGGCCTCTCAGAAGTAGCTCCAGGATGACCACATATGAGAAATGGGTAAAAGCAAAAGCTATGCCTTGGCTCTTTGCCCATAACCACTAACACTCTCTTCTCCTGGTCAGGGAGGCCACTTGTGCAAAGAAGGCCCATCAGAGGCTGACTGGAGGCCAGGGCTAGCACTGATATTATTCATGTGATCCTATATCATATACTGTGCTCTTCAAAAATTGTGCATAGATACCCTGAAGGCCCTTGCTCACTCAGTGGCAAGTCACGACAGATTCTATCATTGAGCCCAACCACCTCATAATAGAAACCAAGGCTCTGAGGGGGGAGATAATTCACCCAAAATCACACAGCTCCTATATTATGTCATGGCCCGTAGCTGTGTGATTGAAGTGAGGGACAAAAGGGGCCAAGTCAGGCATCCCTTAGTCTTAGTCTCCCTTTCGATCCCATTGTTGCAGTGACCATGTCTCCTTCTCCAAGGCTGACCGACAGAGATCACCCTCAGGCGAACCACAGCACAGAATAACACCTCCCTCTAAGCAGGGACTGAACCCAGTGTTGGCCACACACAGGAGAAAAAGCTACTGCCCAGCAAAGTGGTCACACAGCATGAAAGACTAGGGTCTTCCAAGCCAGAAAAACTTAATCCCAAATGCATGTGACACGCAACTCTTCTGCCTCCAGAGCAGACAGGACCCAGCATCCACCTTCTGTCCTGGGGGAACCACCATGGGTCATGCAGCTCACAACCAAGTCTACTGCCTGGGTCCAAGTTACCCAGGCCTTGCCAATGAGAACTACACTTAGGACTTTCCCTGGACTCATTGGGAATAAATTATGTTGTTTCCTCCAGGCTGCCCAGGAAGCAGAATGGAAGTCTGGAGCTGCTGGTGGCTAGCATGCCCAATCAGGAAAGCACCTGCCCAAGAACAAAATCATGCAGAGGAAGCCCAGTTCAGAGGCAGAATCCGACAGTATCAGAGGCAGTATCATTTGGGACCCTGGATCCAGCCAGACCTGAAGCCCTGAGCTTCTTTTCTGTTTAGGATATTGTACGTCCTCACTGGTTCCATGTATCTGAAAGAGCGGTAACTTGTAACAGGACTAAGCAAAGCCTGAGTACCTCTCCTGCTCCTTTCAAGCTCAAGGTACCAGGGATCTGCATAGTAGGCCTTGTGACCCTAGGAGAAGCCCAGGCCCTGGGAGGTCAGAGCATAGCCTTCCCAGAGAAGAGAGGCTCCTTACCTGTACTGGTTTGGCCATGGCTGGGTTCTGCAGCAGAAAACACTGTGGAGAAGAAAGAGACTCCATGAGATCCCCTGCACTCTGCTCCCCTCCATTCTTTCTCCCAAACTCCCTCACCCTTCCTCCCTCCCGAGGGAGAGCACGCTCCCCTGCTGATTTCCAGCTACCTCCAGCCCTTCAGGTTAAATTATATCCAAAGACCTGGCTCAGGGCCAGACAGATTTTTCAGAGGACAATGGATCAACTAGCTGGTGTCCAGACACACACACCACGATGGGAATGGGACCTGGAACCAAGAGGGAGAGAGGGCAGGACCCTGAGCCACGGCTCCTCCGGGCCTGCAGGGCACTTTCCCACACGTTGTCTCACTCTGTCATCACAGCAATCCTTCCTGCACCAGCTTTCCTGTTTTTTTTACCAAAGAGGAAACTGAGGATGGGGGGAGTCGGGGAGGTTAAGTAATTTGCCCAAGATCACACAGCTTAAAACTGAATTCAACAAAGTTCAGATTCCAGAGTCTAGCTATCTGCTCCATGCATGCTCTTCTTCCAAGTCACCAAGAACAGTTCCAAAATCAGGGCGTAATGATCTGCAGATGAGAACAGTCAAGGGGCTTGGGGCCACCTGATGCAGACATCTGAAGGGATATCATTCCTGTGTAAGTGAATGAACATCTATTTAACATCTGCTTTGTTTTGGCACTGCTCTAGGCTCTGAAGACACAGCAATAAATAAGAGATTTTTAAAACCCCAAACTCCGCTTTTCTGGAGCTTCCTCTGTAATGAGGAGTAACAACAAATGCATAGGATAAAAACTAAGGAGAAAAGACAGACCCTGATCAGGAGAGAGTGATACGGGGTGCAGTCCCAGGGGGGACAGTCAGAGAGTCCCGTGAACCACGTGGATACCTGGGGGTAGTGGGGTCAAGGAGCTCAGTATGGTTAAGGTGATGGCAGGAAACAGGGCTAGGACGCTGCTAGGATGTGGGATCAGGGGACCAGTGCATGAGGTCACTGTAAAGACAGACAAAGGATTCTTTGAAGGGACAGGAGGTCATGGCAGGGCTGCGGGTGATGGAATATATGATCTCTTTCAAGAGAATGTCAGGAGACAGGGTCTACAGTGAGGGACTCAGAAACGAAGACCTCTTACCTAAACAAAAATGAAAAAGGGATGTAACTGGCTTGCAGGGGAAGAGTGGTGGGGGCAGGCTGCTCAGCATGCTGGGCAGGAGGGCAGAGACAGAGGTGAGGCAGGCTCCTCAGGGGAAGAGGAGAAGGCACCCGTGTTTTCCATTTGAGTCTGGACTGCACGATTTGCACTCCATAAAACCATGTCCACGTACTACTTGTTCAAAGTAAAAGTAATGGGTGGGAAGAGAGGGATAAGCGCGGGGAAAAAGAAAGGGGGCATTACGATTAGCATGTGCAGTGGCAGGGGCATGGGGAGGGCTGTGCAACACAGAGAAGACAAGTAGTGACTCTACAGCATCTTACTACGCTGATGGACAGTGACTCTAATGGAGTTTGTTGGGGGGACTTGGTGAAGGGGGAAGCCTAGTAAACATAATGTTCTGCATGTAATTGTAGATTAATGATAACAAAATAAAAATAAAATAAAATAAAAGTAAAAGTAACAAGCTCTGTCAGATTTACTCAGTAAAACCTACAAGGAGCTGAACTGGAAAAGAAGATAGAGACCAAGGTGCTTTCCAGTTCACTAAATGGCCATCCCAGCAAAATAACTGAGGAGAAATCAGTCCAGAGTCCTGCTCTCATTTTGGGGTCACTGGAGACAGAGCGACAGTGGGGAGAACACAGGACGTGGAGTCAGGCAGACAGACCTGGACTCAAATTTATCTTGTCACTTAACTATGTGACCTTGGGGCATACTGCTCATCTCTGAGTTCAAGGTTATCTCAAGGACAAAAGTCTGACTTTCTATTTCCTGCCTTGAGGGTTGTTGGACAATGAGACATAACTTGCGTCCAAGGAGAGCACAGGAGGCCAGGCAAGAAGTGTTCTCAGTTAATGGTGGTGTTCACACTTGCTGGCAAGTTTTGAGGACAGAATTTGTCATGTTTGCCCATGTGTCCCCACTGCCTGATTACAAGTCCCCTAAACTGCAATTAGCAGACACAGGGTTGGGAATGAAAGGCAAGGCAGAGGACAGAGATCTGCCCAGTGCTGCCGAGGGGGTGCTCGAGAAACCCTGCTGCTTCCCTAACAGCCAGGGGCCACGTGGTACACAGGTGCAGTGCTCACCAGGAAATGGAAAATCCCCCGCTGGGGAGGGGCCCCGCATCTCCCCCACGGTCTGGCCAGGAGCCAGCACTGGGTTTCCCTAGATCTGGGAGTAGGGGGGGTGCGCAGAGGGTGGGGGAGCCCCAAAGCCAGCAGAGAAACAGGGACCTAACAGGGCCCAGGAAGTCAGCAGAGTGGGGGAGGGATGAGACCTGTCACCAGCACCTCGGGCCTTGAAGCATTTTCTTTGGCCTTGTTGCTGGAAACTAGTTGTGGCAGCAGGCCAGGCCCATCTGGACGACAGTCCCTTTCCAAGGAGAGATGGCTCAGAGGAGGGGCCTCCAAGTGCTTAGGAAAACAGCTCCCAGAGCAGTGTGCGTGCCTCCACTGGATGCATGTCTTGTGTATACGTGGAGAGAAGCTCCTTCCGGAATCAGACGCTGAGACGGCAGTTCAGGGGGCCTGATCTCCAATAGGCCCTCCGCTGAGGGATCAGGGAGGCTCTGGAGCAACTGACAGAGGCGCCATTTACCCTGGCTTTACAAGGGGCTCTGAGCCCTCTGAGAGCAAGCCCGGACACACTTCTCTGGGTGGTTGAACAAACGTTTCCTACCAATGCTTTAGAATTTCAGAGGACCCTAAAGACCTACTCCCCCAAGCTCCATGGTTTCTAGACGGGGCAAAGGCATCTCAGGGAGGGTACGTGACTTGCTAGGACCCAGACAACAGCTACCATCTCTGCCTCCGGGGGCCCTGGCTGCAATGGGACACTAGGAAGAGGCCAAAGGAAAAGATCAGGTTCTGGTTCCCAATTTGTCTATAATATAAGAAGAACCAGGCTCCCTATCTGGACCTCAGTTCCTCCTTCCATAAAATGGAGTTATCACTCCCTCTTTGGGAAAATCTCAAGTAGATGACAGAAGGTTTTACAGATTTTAAACCAGGGATTTTCACATCAAAAACTCAGAGTATTAGTCCTAGTAGAGTTCTTCCCCAGGCCATAGAATTCCTCTCTCTTTCCCCACTACCTCCCACCCCTATATGCAAGTTTCATCATCTTGGTTAAAACAGTGCTCAAGACTGGCAGGTATGGCCAAACTAGAGCTGTGCCTCTCTCCTCCCAGGAACCCTAAATCTCTTCTGACCTGGATGCTCATGACGGCTAATCATGGCTGATCATTCCAGAAACCTACCCAAGGGTAGAGTCCCGGGTATCTTTGTGCTGCTGGGGCCACCCCCTGACTTAGTCCTTTAGCTCGCAATCATGTTTTCTTCCTTCCTCTTTGGGGGCTCAGGACTAACTCTAGGATGGGGGTTCCAGGGTAGGGAACACACCAGACCTGTGGCTCACCACTGCCCAACTGTACACTTGGGGAAACCAAGGGCTGAACAGGGGAGGAGTCTTGTCCAAGTCATGCAAAAGGCATGGGCTTGGAGGTCAGACCAGGCTATGAGTCAGGGCTCCACCTCCTACCAGTTTATGATTTAGATAAATTACCTTAATTGAATCTCAATTTCTACATCTCCAAAAGGCATATGAAAAACATCTCCATCTACTGAGAAGTAAATAAAATAATGGATGAAGAGCCCTTGGAGCACCGTGCCTGGCACAGAGTAGAAACTCAATAAAGAGTAGCTCTTATTACAATAAACCTGAACATGTGCAAGGGAGGCAACATGGCATCCTCATAAAGAATGCAGGCTTTATAGTTGTGGCCTGAGTTCCAGTCCAGCCGCTGCAAATTCCTAGTTCATGGCCTACGGCAAGTTACACCACTTCTCTCTGGCTCAGTTTCAAGTTAAACCATTTCTCTCTGGCTCAGTTTCTTCAGCTTGGAAATGACAATCTCAGAGGGATTCCGTGAAAATTCAGTGAAGTAAGGCAGGTAAAATACTTAGCATTGCCAGGCACAGATTAAAAGTTTACTACGTCCAAAACCAGGCAAAGATACCACGAAAAAAGAAAATTACAAATTACAAACCAATATCCCTGATGGACATAGATGCAAAAATACTCAAAAAAATATTAGCAAACCAAATTCAAAAATACATCAAGAGGTTCATACACCATGACCAAGAGGGATTCATCCCAGAGATACAAGGATGGTACAACATTTGAAAATCCATTGACATCATCCACCACATCAACAAAAAGAAGGACAAAAACCACATGATCATCTCCATAGATGCTGAAAAAGCACTTGACAAAATTCAACATCCATTCATGATGGGTATACAGGGCAAGTACCTCAACATAATAAAGGCCATATATGATAAACCCACAGCCAGCAACATACTGAACAGCGAGAAGCTGAAAGCATTTCCTCTGAGATCGGGAACCAGACAGGGATGCCCACTCTCCCCACCTCTATTCAACAGAGTACTGGAGGCCCTAGCCATGGCAATTAGACAACACAAAGAAATAAAAGGCATCCAGATTGGCAAGGAAGAAGTTAAACTGTCCCTGTTTGCAGATGACATGATATTGTACATAAAAAATCCTGAAGAATCCACTCCAAAACTACTAGATCTAATATCTAAATTCAGCAAAGTTGCAGAATACAAAATTAATACACAGAAATGTGTGGCATTCCTATACACAGACAATGAACTAGCAGAAAGGGAAATCAGGAAAACAATTCCATTCACAGTTGCATCAAAAAGAATGAAATACCTAAGAATAAACCTAACCAAGGAAGTGAAAGACTTATACTCTGAAAACTACAAGTGACTCATGAGAGAAATTAGAGAAGATACCAATAAATGGAAACACATCCCATGCTCATGGATAGGAAGAA